ATAATTACGATGGGATCTTGCAGTTATTTGGAAAACCTTTTTATTATTTCAGAATTAAGCAAATGGTGCATTGCCCTTATCACTCTAACGGTCTGACCATATCTTGGCTACTTAAGAGTAAATTTCAATTACCTCTGAGATTAGCTTATGAACAATTTTGTTATTTATCGTTGAGAATATAAAATGAATCTTTTTCAAATAATCGCTAATCGCGAAACTAGTTTGAACTCAATTTATTCGTATTTTCTTTTGATAATTTTATAAACATAACGCGATAACAGGTTAAGTTATTTCACATTTCTAAGATAAAAGTTTAAGCAAACAGGCCTTAATTTATTCATGTTATCTTTGCAATATAATGCTTTTATTAAAGTTCAATATACATCAATATAGTCAATCAGCGACAAATTTTCAGTTATCTTGTCTTGATATTTATCCCGTATCCGTGGACCAAAGAAATGAAGAAGCAGCAAGCAAATGTAGAAAAATGTAGTGAAAGAAAATAAAAATAAAACGTTGAGATGTGAACGTTTATTATTGCGTTGTGCGATGCGATGCGATGCGATGCGATGCGATGCGATGCGATTGCTCGGTCAGGTTGACATAAAAAGGCCAAAAGGAAATTTCGAAAAACCAGTCTTGAAGTAAATCAGTTAATGTATTCTTCTGGCTTATGGTTTCCTTTTTTTGACCAAAAGTCAGGCTTAGAGTTTTTTTTATTTTTTTATTTATTTATTTATTTTTTTTGTTTTTTCCTCTGATTTCATCTGTTTTCATCTGCATTGTCTTAAACACAGGCATAATACGTACGCAGAGACATATAAACCAAGTGGTGACTGTTTTTTTTTTTTTTTCGCCGTTAAGCCGGGCCAACAAGCAGTCAGCGAGAGGCATATGTTTATCTTTTTTATTTTTGTTTCTTTACTGTTTTTGGTGACAATAACATTGACCGCAAAACTTAAAACTCTGGCTAACAACAGGCTGACTAGCTGCCAGCCTGCCTGCCTGCCTGCCTGCCTGCCTGGAATGACTGACTTAACTATACTTACTGACTGACTGGTCAACAAGTATACATTAAACCAGTTTGTCAAGTTTACCGAACGGAAAATACACAGATGAAAAAAATAAATAAATAAAGTTTGTATATAAAAAATTTTAGCAGTGACACAAAATTGTTCACCAGAAAAAAATGCAATTTTATATTGAAGTCGGTGTTTATTTTCTTTTTTTATTTTTTTATTTTTTTTTTATTTTTGTTTTTTTCTAAATGAAAATAAAAAAGAGATTCAAAATTTGCATATTGTTGTTGCATAAACAACAACAACAACAACAACAACATACGCTTGATAATGATAATGACGGTGAGAATAATAATGATGATGATGAGAATGATGAGTAGCGACATAGCCATCATCGTGATCAAACACACATTTAGCTTGGACTCACTATCACTAAAAGCTTAATTTTATTCACTGCTCTTGTTATCTGTTTTTATCAAATGTGGAGCAGTGATCTTGTTGTTCTTGTTGCACTTAATATGACCGTAATGAACAGTATTCTAAAATACTATCTTAAAAATGCATAAAATACAACTCTGCTTTAAATAAAATTTAAAAATAACAAAAAAGTAACAACAATAACAATAACTATAAGAACGAAAGAAAAAACGCATTTTGTTGATATTCAATGCTTTTAAACAACGCAGGCGAACATGTGTGTAAGCTTAGCTGATGGTTCGCATGTGGTTCTATGTGCCTACACTCATACATATATACGCGATATACATATCAACATTGTTTTATATACCATTCATTTTCATATATATATATATGTATGCATATGTATAAGGAGCAATGTGTACATGTGTGGAGTAAAGAAGAGTTAGCCATGGTTGCCATTGTGATGCCTTAGGCCAATATGCATATCGGGTCTGATGCATATTTATGCCAATTTTTACATTACAGTCAGCCGTCCAAAAACCGGCCGGCTTTATGGCTACAAATACGTACAGACATGCGCATACATGTACATGTGTATGTTGTTTGCATGCATATATATTTATGTATGTGGGTATATAAAAACAAAAAAGGGTTTTACTATAAAGATCTCTTGTTCTCTTTTTCCGTTTTTATATATATATATATATATATATATATATATTTTTTTTTTTTTTTTTCTTTTTCATTTATTTATTTTTAAGTTTTTTCTTCACAAATATGCACATTTAAGTTGCGCCATTTTTTACGCTGCCTCACATACCACATTATACGCAAAAACTCATTTGCATGTCTATCATGTTTTGATGGGTTTTGTAAACTCAACACAGCACCACGTAAAGCTACAACAACAACAACAAGAACAACAGCATATATAACTATACCGCATGATAATGTGCAGTTGAGAGTTCTTTTTTTTTTTTTGTTTTTTTTTTTTTTTTTTTTTTAAATAATCTCTTTCTTACTTTAAATAACAATTTCTTCTTTTTTTTTTCTGAGGCATTTTTCTTGGCATATTTAATTTTAAGCAGTATTTCTCTAATCGCCACTGAAATCAGAAGAACGTAAACAAGAGTATCGTTACTATTGAGAATAGTTATTAATCTTATATTTTAAACTTGTGTGTAACTACAACAAACACTGCGTAAACATTCGTAACATTTATTATCGCCAGTCGAGAAGCTACTAAAGTTAGGAGATATGATAGCCTGTGACGCCAAAAGCCACGAAAAGGCGCTTCATGTAAAATCATTTAGTTTTAGCTTTTGTGTAAGCGGGAAGCTCACTAGGGAAAACAACTGAGGCACTTGAGCCATGAGCGGAGAATCTTGTCAATTTTCTCATTTTTTATAGCAAAATTTTGGAATTAGTTGAAAAAACCTATATAAAATTATCAAACAATGCACCCTCACTAGGTTAGAAGCCTTTTCGTCTCTCAATATTGTTAGGGAATTAACTGCTTGTGCACACGAATGGGGCAGTGTCGGTAAAGGCGGACAGAATATTGAGCAAAATATCAAATTTTACTAAAATTCAATGAAATTCGTTGTTGCTGAGCTCCAAAGCGACAAGGACTTATTTTCCTGTTTATAGTTTTCTAGATCAAAACGAGGACTACGTCCATTTTCCCAAACCATCTCCGAATCCATTTAATTAACAAGTTCTATACCAAGTCGAGTCCACTAAGAATGGGATCGTTGTCCTAAATTTATATAACAACAACAACAAGTAAGAGCATTATAGTGAATTTCACTTATTCCATGTAACGACTTATTACAAGAAAGCCTTCTATGAGAAGCGGTCAAAAAAGGGGTCCAATAGCGCTCGTCCCTGTGGCAAAACACGTGCGTTTACCAAACTTTATCAATGTATCTTAAAAATTACGACTTGTAAATTGAACACCAGAAAGACGGACAGACAGGCTTCCGCATAAACTTCATATAGCCTTGTATCACACGTTGTATATGAAAGTGAAAGTCTTAAGAGTATGTAAAATATATTTTCACAGATTTAGGGGGAAAAAAAAAACTGGTTGGGTGACAACATTCTAAAGGCAATGCTTCTATTTGGAAGGGTGCCCGTTATTGTTCCAACTTTAGCTCGCCATTTTGCATCTCGAACAATTGCCCAAATATTTTTTAAAAATATGACTCAAAATCTAGGAACTATTTTCTCATTTTTTGTACAAATAGATTTGAAAATCAATTTGAAATTGTCGTTTGAAAAATTTGGCCGTAGAATCGACAAATTCGGAAATCATGTAATGGCCACTAGAGAATGTTATTCCGAAGCAATTATTAAAATTTTGCGAAAATGAAAGCAAAATTACCAATAGTTCGATGAACGTGAAACCAACGTTATCAAGAAAAGCGCTTTTGATGTTTCACGTGGCTGTGACATCGCTATATGTATATAGCTATATATTCGAAAGATTCGGATCATTTGAAATCTTGCCACGCCCACAGCAGTCGTTTTATACCATTTTTGAAAATTTTGCAGATTATATAAGCCAATAATAGAAAGAGAAGGCAGCACACTACCCCTTAAGCCGAGTCGACTTCTAGCAGCCGGCAAAATTATATTAAAGGTCGAACAACATATAATTATCTTAACAGTAAAAGATAGACTTAATACATTTTTTCATGTTGTGATCATGTGGTCCGAAGAGAAGAAAACAGTATAGAAATTGTCAGCCGCGCCTTACTTTTCGATTGGAGAAGTTTTTGCAAATCAGTATCTTAACTTGTTATACCCGTTTGGACAAGGATCTTCATTAGCACGTAAAGCCCAAAAATTTTCAATATATTGAGGGTAATACCAAAATGGTTCCTCTTTTTGGGAAGCACCTGTTTTCACGACTTCCATCAAAGCAGCGTAATCTGCGGAACTATAGGATTGAGGGCACATTTATCTTTGGATAAAGAAAGGTTAGAAAGGCAATCATAAAGTAACCATACCCTCCTTTCCAACCATTTCGTGAGAAGATAAAGTAGACAAAAGCTTGAGAATTCCTCAAGAAAAAGGAAATATTTGAAGAATTTAAAAAAGGGATTGTACTCAGCAAAGATGCAAAAGGAGCTAAGTAAGACTGGAGTTGTAGGAGTAGGTAATCACACACAGTCATGGTTGTTAGCATTTTTACCCGTAGAAGATTAATGAAAGATGATACTAGCAGTTCATGAAGCCACCACTTTAAGCGAAGGCGGTTTACAACAACTTACAGCGTAACATAATTTTAAATGTTGTGTTATGCTTGTTAATAGGACAACAGGAGAGTTTCTATTATCCTATATATATATATAAATTTTATAATTATAAATATACTCTAAAATAAATATAATATATTGAATAAAAAATAATTTTTCTTGTTTTTTTTCTCCATTTTCTCTTTCTGCTCTTTTCGTTTTTTGTTCTTCTCTCTCTCTCTCTCTCTCTCTCTTCTCTCTTTTTGTGCATCTCTATTATTGGTTGTGTGCATTAATGCGCGCGGCACACGCATTCTAGGTACATGAATTATGCGATAATTTCTGTCACCGATATATCTCATGTTTAAAGGGTAAAATGCCAATAGATTTAGTGATTGACGAACGGGACACCACCAAACCACCAGAATTGGGTTCAGCTAATGGTGAAGGAAGAAGTAATGCCGATTCGACATCACACACCGATGGAGCTAGTACACCAGACGTTGTGAGTACCCCCTTCGCGGGAGCACATGGTCCTATATTGGCGAGCTACAATGCGGTGGTGCACCCATGTTCGTAGTACGATAACGACCTTCTTGCAAAAACGAAGCGGGTGCTCACAATGCCCTGGGATTAAAATTTAAAAATAATGAAAAAATAATAATAATAAAAAAAAAACCTAAACATAAAAAATAAAAACAAAAGTGTAAATTACCAAAAACAAAATACGAAAACTAAAAAAACAAAAACAAAATTACAACAAAACAGAAACGTATTAAAACCACGTTATAAAAAAGAAGAAGAAATTAAAAAAAAAGAAAGATTGCAACACGTATAGCAAAAATCGTCTACGAAACAAATATAGAGCCATGAACGCGAGAGCACACTCACACACACCGCCAACCACCACTGTGATTTATGTTGCGATGAAGCCCCCCATGCCAAGCCAACAAAATACAGCCAACCAATACAGTACAACCAGTCAACGAAGCATAAGAGCTTTTGCCAAAAAAACAAAAAAAAAATACAAAAAGCAAAACAAACACAAAAAGCAACAACAAAAAACCGAATGAAAATGAAAACATATATAAAACACAGCCAAGCCAAAAAGTGCGTATAAATAAATTGGAATTGAAACTGGCCAGCAATTGGGAAAAAGCAAATGAACGTAAGGAAATGCTATGAAAAAGAAACAAACATTAAGAGACATATATATATCTATATATATATATATATATATATATATATATATATATATATATGTGAAAAAATAAGAGTAAAGATACAAGAGAGAGAAAAATGAAAAAAAAAGTAAAGCAAAACCAAGCAAAGCTTATTTATGGTTTTACTGACGACAGAATGGGGCACAAAGTTAATCCTATTTTTACTATACGTGCTGCAATACTTTCCTTTTTTTTAAGGTCTGGATTCTCTTTAAAAGAATTTTTATCATATGGTCCTGATATTGAAGTGAAAACGAAAACAAAAATATTTTTGCAATTCAATGGCAATAATTGTTAAAACCAAAACAGCATTTGTTCTAAAAATTACATAAAGATTACAACAAATAATTAAAACAAAATTTAAAATAAATAAATAAGTATAAAATATTTTTGTTTAAAGATAATAGAGATTATAAATATAATGTAAAAAAAAAAAAAAAAAAAAAACAAGAAAACGAAAAGTAAGAAAATACAAACATTTTGCAAAGTAAAAAGTACCACAACTACTACAAGAAGAACGACAACAAAAAAGCAGCAACAAAAATATAAATAATTTAATATAACAGAAAAATCAGAACAAGAAACACAACTTCGTTTTTGCAAGAGGCCCATATAGCTCGCCAATATAGAATATATGTAATAATATATAATTAATATCATTAATATTATATATATATATATATATATATATATGTATATAAATATATATTGTATATATATATGTATTAATATGTATATATATATATGTATACATAATTTTTTTAACCCCTACTAACTTTTAACTCTCACTTCAACAGTTATTTATTTTTTAAAAGAATTTTTTATTCTTTGATTTAATTCTTTTTAATATATTTTATAATTATTAGCAATTTTTTGCGACTGGTGTATATAGTTCTCTGATTTTAACTTGTTTTCCTGTCTCTTTTTCTCTCTCCCAATGTGCTTATATGTGCATTTCTCTTTCTCGTTCTCACTTATTCTCATTTAATTCTGATGACAATGCGTACGTGTGTGTGTATGTGTGTGTGTGTGTGTGTGTGTGTTTATTGAATTGTTATTTAAATGCATAAACACACAAACCCCTACAACTTTTTTTTTCATTTTTTTTATTTTTTTTATTTTCCCTTATGAAACTAATAAAAACAATGATAATTAAAGGATCATCAACAACAACAACAACAACAATTTAATCCATTGGAACAAACTTATGCCACTTATCGGATTAAAAATGAGGCAGATTTTTAAATGTTTTTGTAGAATTTTTTTTTTTTGTTTAGGTTTTTTTTAGATTTTTTTTTTTTTTTTGTCAAAAACAGTAAAGCAAGGATTTTTTTTCATTCCCCTTACCATCACCATACATACAAACATAATAATATTAACAAGTATACGATTTTTCTAAAAACCTAAAAGCAAAAAGGAAACGTCCCTCTAGTTTCTTTAAAAAAAAAAAAAAAAAAAAAAAAAAAACTTGCCAAACAAATCATTTACTTTTTTATTATTCGCTATTGATTTTTTATGAAACAAAAAAAAAAACGAAAGAAAAAACTTAAGTTCAAATGCCAAGTATACGAATATCTTTAACAAAAGGAACTAAAATACAAAGGACACATAAAAAATAATAAGAAAATGTAATATATTTAAAAATATATTTAAACGCATATAAATATATATATATAAAACAATATTTTAAAATTCTTACTATTAACTAACCTACCTAACCTAACGTTTCACATACACGAACACTTACACCTCTTCTAACATCCAATCTACTTAAAAAAAAACTTACATTATAGTACATTAAAGGAAAGAAACGATCTTGAGACCGTAAACGATATACGTAAAAAGCACTCTTTGCTTCAGTAAGTAAAGGGTTATCCTTCTTTTTTTTTTATACATATACACAATACATAGATACATTTATACATATACATATACATAGATAAAAAAAATAAAAAGAAAAAGGAAAAAAAAAAAATAAATGCTAAACTACTAATACCTTAACTACTTAACAGTCATAGTTACTATAACAATAAAACTTCGGTAGCTATGGTCCTTCTACTGAATGAGTATTAAAAGCGATAATAAGGAGAGTTTTTTCATTATTATTATTATTATCATCACTTTTTTGTTTTCAAAAAAAAAAAAAAAGAAACTTCTTTTCCCCCTCTCTAGAATGTACTTAAAAAACTTTATGCTCTATTTCTACATACGTACATAAACATATATATATAAAAAAATAAATAAATATTTATTTAGATGAATCCGACTAAAAACCTTTAAAACCTAATACAATTAGTGATTAAGACTTAAATCTAAAGAATATGTATAAAAAGCTATATGGGCTCATGAAAAGGAAAACGCGTTTAAACAAAAAATTCTTTAAAAAAAGTCTTCTTTTAAATAAATTTTTTTTTTTTTATTTGTTAAAGAAAAGTTTTCAAAAATTTTCTTTAAAAAATAGTTGTTGTACTTTATATTTATATATATAAAACAAAAAACAAAAAAAAAAAAAAAGCTATAGAATTTTATAACATTAAAGAAAAAAAAGCATTGCTTTGTTTGTTTTAATTTTATAAAAAAAAATAAAAAAATCTTCAAATAAAAAATCTTTTACTTTCTTGTTTATTGTTATTTTCTGTTATTATTAATTTAAAAAAAAAAAACAAAAAAAACAAATCTCCATTTTACAAATCGAGTAAAAACAGAAAACTGAAATACGTAATTTTCATTAGGTGATATTTTAAATAATTTTTTTTTTTTTTTTTAAATTTGTCTACAAATATTATTTTTATTTTATATTATTATTGATTGATTGCTTTATGTAAGGAGAAAAAGATTTTTTTCATAAATACTTTTGTTTTGATTATTATTATTTTTTTTTTTTTATTTTTTATTTTTTTTATGAATTAGTCGTTTAGCGAAATTGTAATTAAAACGCAATCAAAATCAAGTTTTACAAACTTAATAGAAGAAAAAAATAAATGAATAAATAATCTAAAAATCCTAAAAGAAAATAATTTTCTTTCTAAAAAACGAAACATTTTTAATTATTTGTATTGTACATTAATAAAAAGATAAAAAAATAAATCCATAAAAGTTTAATACTATTCTTTAATATATATATATATATATATATATATATAAATATATACATAAAATAATGAAAAAAAGCGAAAAATAATAAATGAATAAAATTTAGCCAATAAAAAGGATATATATGTATATATATATATATCTATATATATGTATATATATAAATGTATATATATATATATATGAGATATTGAATATATTTCAAAAATAAAACTTGAGAAAAAATTTAAAAACATTATCTTTTCCTGATTTTTTAATCCCCGAAAATCTTGAATAGTGGCAGCAATCATCATCAACAAATATTACAACAACAATTACAAGAAAGTGTTGGAAACACTTTGGAGTTCCGGAGAAACCTTTAAGTAATTATTGAAAAAAATTTAAAAAAAAAAGAAAGCAAATCTATTAAGTACAACAATTATTTTTTCTTCTATATTTTTTTTTTTATGAACAAAAATGTAAAAAATGCTAATAGCTTGGATACGCATAATCAACGAATAGTTTATTAGAGTTTAACTGCATTTTTTCTGGTGCTACGTCCGCAAATGTCTTGCAATAGCCCTAAGTTGAACTTTTAAAAACCAGTTTTTTTTTTAGTTATAAAAACCTAAAACATAAAAGACATATAAAAAGAATATACTGTAGCAAGCAGACGTTTGAAGGTGTAAACCAGTAGAACGTGCTTCTCCGTTCCTATATATTCCATTCTTGACTACTCTGGATGAGCATGTCTTCTAATTGTCCTTCCGGCCGTTATGCTATGCTATGTAATTCTTGAAAATCAATAAACTGATTTCATTCCAAAATTCATTGGTATAAGTATTCCTGATGATCCTAATTAGCGACTTAAAGACTTTTTTACGTGTTATCGAACATTTCCTGAGAAATTTACGTAACATTAGCTCCTGAGGCAATGGTATCAACAATGAATTGTCATTAATCGTTTCTAGATAGAAAGAAATTATATCCTCTTATGTAGCAAATTTTTTGACGCCCACAACCATATTAAAAATTCATATTTTTTATAAAACTTCATCGAATTCCTCGTATATCTCTAAGCACTTGAAAGTATAACGGAATGTGTGCAATAGTCCTATATAGCTTTTTCATTAACAAAGTTCAACGTCTTGATACGATTTAATTAATAATTTTTTGATATAATTCTAAGTAAATCCTTGCATGGATGTAA